GTGGGGTGCAGGAGTCAGGATGGGAGGTTGGGTGCAGGGGGTTGCAGAGCAGGGCTTTGGGTGTTTTGGGGACTGTGGCCAGGAAGTGGGAGCCGGGGCTGGGATGGTTGGGAAGGGGTGTCTTGAGGACATGAGTGGAGGGTGCAGGATTGAGGCAAGAGGGTGGGGCCAGATGGTTGGAGGTGGAGTGTGCAGGGTTGCCTATGTGAGGGGGCTTAGGGCAGGGGTGGGGCTGCAGACCTGCCCCTTTGCTGCACACCATCCTAGGCAGAGGCAGCCCCTCCACTCCCAGGAGGACCGCGGAAAACCCCAAGGTGGCCCTGGCAGCGCATGGTGAGGGTGAGGAAGAGGGGAAGGAGTCTGGGGGAGAGCCAAGGAGCCTGCACAGAGAGCCAAGGCCTGGTTTTGACAGGCAGGTCTCAGCACATGGCTGCCCACAGACACTGGCCAATGGGAGCTGTGGAGTCAGTGCTCATGTAGGTAGGAGATGGATGCTTCTGGGTGTGATGCGGGGGGAGGGCAGGCAGGGAACCTGCCTTAGCCCCACTGCACCACCAGCATTAGTGGAGATGGTTTCTGGGGGTGGGCTGGACCTTTTAGCTTATCCAGGTCTCTGAGCAATTGCCCCTTGTGCCCCTCCCATCAGCAGGCCCGACAGAAGCCTGGAGAAGGCTGCAGTGGAGAAGAGAGAGGCCCAGGCAAAGGAGGGGAAACACCGCTCGAGCTGTTAACGCTTCTCAGACAGTCTGGTGGGCCTGGCAGTACCAGCCCAGTCTCACCTCCTGCTGCAGCCCATACAGAACTCCACAGCGGGGCCTCCCCACGCACCCCTCTCCCTGTCGCCATCCCACATGGTGTCGGGTCAGTGCCCAGCCAGTCCTGCCCTGCCCGGAGGGAGCTTCACGCATTCTGACCTGTGAATGGCGCGGGTGGTGCATACATACCTGGGATGGAATGTTTCTCGCTGAAAGATTTATTTGCCTTGCCATTTCCAGTCTTGAAGCTCTAAAATTAGGCCAACACTTTGAGTGAATATTCTCCTTTGATTTTTCACTGGATTTTAAAACTGGTCAAAAATTCCAACTGTCCTATTTCCAGGAAAATGAAGAAATTTAAAATGTAGAAGGTATTTTTGCCACAACAGCATCTCTTCACTTTATCCTGAGAGGATGAGAATAGCTCAAAGCCTTACAAATGACAATCTTTGAATAAAACTATCGAGTCATTGTGAAGAATTCTACAAAATAATTATGGATTTCTCTTCATGCCCCTGTTTTGACTCACTCTACTTTTCATTCTCTGGTGTCACCAGCTCTGTGCAAAGATGCTCTTCTCAACGGTTTTTCTGAAGGCTCCCTTCACCTCTTTGTTCCTCAGTGTGTATATGATGGGACTCAACAGAGGGGACACGATTGTGTTCAAGAGGGAAATCATCTGATCAGTCTCCAGGGTGGAGCTGGACTTGGGCATCAGGTAGATGATAAGGCCTGTTCCATAGAACAAGGTCACGACCATGAGGTGGGAGGAACAGGTGGAGAAGGCTTTATGCCTGCTCTCTGCCGATGGCAGCCTGAGGATGGTGCAGATGATGAGGATGTAGGACAGGAGTATCAACAAGAAAGGGCTCATGATAAACAGCCCTGACACAAAGTGCCCTAGGATCTCAATCTTCCATGTGTCAGTGCAAGCCTTCTTCCTCACCGGTTCAACGTCACAGAAGAAGTGGGGGATGCGGTTGGAGCCACAGAAGGGCAGGCTGAAGATCCACATGGTCTTAGCTACTTCCATCGTGATGCCGATGACCCATGAAGCACCTGCGAGCAGCACACACGCACGGCCGCTCATGATGGTTGCATAGTGCAAGGGGCGGCATATGGCCACATAGCGGTCGTAGGCCATGCCTGCGAGAAGGCAGCATTCTGTGAGGCCCATGATGGTGAAGACGTACATCTGGGCTGCACAGGCCACAAGGGAGATGGTCTTTTCCTCCACCAGGAGGTGAACCAGCAGCTGAGGGACCACACTGGAGGTGAAGCAGATTTCCAGGAAGGAGAGGTTGCCCAGGAAGAAATACATGGGGGTATGGAGGGTGGAGTTCAGCATTGTCAGGAGGATAACAACCAGGTTCCCCATCAAATGACCAGGTAGATGACCAGAAGCACCAGAAACAGAAGGATTTGCAGCTCACCAAGGTAGGAAAACCCCACCAGGATGAAGACATCGGAGACGGTCTGGTTCTCGCCAGGGCCTCTCTGAGAATTGGTCATCTGTAGGGATGAGAAAGAAAGCAACACTGGAGCTAAATCTGAGGAATACTACATGGCTCCGTCAAGACTGGCATGATTTTCCGGAAATGCTTTTAACGGAAAAGTTTTCCGTTAAAAGCATTTTCAGAACAGAGTGTCTAGACTGGCACAGACGCTTTTCTGCAAAAGCACTTTTTGCGGAAAAGCTTCCGTGCCAATCTAGATGCGCTTTTCCACAAAAAAGCCCCAATCGCCATTTTTGCGATCGGGGCTTTTTTGCGGAAAACAAATCTGAGCTGTCTACACTGGCCCTTTCGCGCAAAAGCTTTGCGCAAAAGGACTTTTGCCCGAGCGGGAGCAGCATAGTATTTCTGCAAGAACACTGACAATCTTACATGAGATTGTCAGTGCTTTTGCGGAAATTCAAGCGGACAGATAGCTGGCAAGTTTTTCCGGAAAAGTGGCTGATTTTCCGGAAAAACTAGCCAGTCTAGACACAGCCCACATGTGTTATGTGACACAAAAATTCATACTGGTTTCCAGTCTGTTGCCAGACTTCTTACTAAAATGTCACTAGAGATGAAATCTTGTATTCAGCAGGGATTTTGATTTATTTCTCTATCTGCTGGCTGACATTTGGACTGGTCCTAAATAAAAGGAAATTTTTTCTCACCATTAGGAATAAGATCAGTGTAGGTTCTCGTCCTTGCCAGTGGACTGATGTTTTCAGAGCACGTCAAGGCATCCGGGCACTCCATAGCTACAGAGGAGAACATGCAAGCAAGAAAAGATGATCAGATTATGTGGAGAGAGGGAGGATGGAACCGTAGCTAACAAAGACCACACTTACCTCTCAGGCACTGGGAGCAGAGCATGTGCCATGGGTGGAGTCGACACTCTTATTAGAATAGATCAGATTGAGCCCACCCCATCAACCCTATTCAGATCCAAATACAAGTCCCAGCCCCAGAAGCAACATTTCCACTCAGCGTTAATGGATGAGGAAGAGGGTTGGAAACAGAGAGGTGTAAAGACAAGAGAAGGGAGAAGCCAAGAACAACACCACACCCAGCAACAACTAAAATACTCAACAGAATCATGGCCCGGTGATGGACATCTGTCACTCTGGTGGGCACTCTGGAATTCTGGGACCAGAACCTCACCTAGGGTACGTCTAGACTACAGGGTTTTGTCGACAGAAGTTTTGTCGACAGATGCTGTCGACAAAACTTCTGCCGGCAAAGAGCGTCTAGACTACATTGAGTTCTGTCGACAAAGCAAGGTGCTTTGTCGACATGGTAGTGTAGACGCAAAGGACAGTTTACACGCAATAAAACCTTCTGTCGACAGAAACTGTGTCGACAGAAGGCGTTATGCCTCGTAAAATGAGGTTTACCAGCGTCAACAAAACTGCTGAGTTCTGTCGACGTTATGTCGACAGAACTCAGCGGTAGTGTGGACGCAGGTATAGTTTTGTCAACAAAAGTCCACTTTTGTCGACAAAACTCTGTAGTCTAGACACACCCCTAGTGTCAATGTGCATCTTGGACCAGAACCTCACCTAGTGTTAAGGAGCATCATACCATTAAAATCAAGCTCCTGACCTGACACCAGGTTATTAAATTAGTTCAATTCCGAATGACAGACTCAGAGATCAGGAGATCAATGGATACACTACGAGGTGGATAGCCAGATAGAGAGAGAGAGAGAATGTAGTCAGACAGGAACCTCCCTTGTAACATTCATTTTTGTTTGCCTGGATATGCAGGCTCAGTGACTGTGAATGGCTGGAACCAGAGATACGCCAATTGCTGACCAAGAGGCTGCTGAGAAGTGCCCTTGACTAAAACCCATATTGATACGAACACAGCCGTCTGTGGGGGGAGGAATCTCTCGCCCAGTAAAAACATGTCTAGTACTCACAATTTAGTTCTCTCTCTTGCAAGTGTAAATTAACTTGAAACTTGCTTGTAAGAACTGGCGCCACAAAACGGACCAGTACAATTTGGCATCTTAGATAAGAAAGAGGATACGGGCCCCTATGGGTATAAAGATGGGTCCAGCAGCACATTTACTCTGAGTGTCAATCTACCATCTATCTGCTGGTCGGTTTTGGTGTTTGACCTCCGAAGGTTCCACGGGGACACCCACCTCGTATCCGTCTTTCCTAGGAATTGAGGGACCGGCCCTGGCCTGACACGCTGGGACCGAGAGGCACAGAAGAGGGTAAAACTTGTACCTGGATGTGGTCCTTTGTCTTAAGTGTACACATAGACTTAGAGCTCTTTAAAGATTAAGCTGTCACTTGGTACCATTATTTCTATTTTCTATCTTTACCTTTTCCCTGTAAAGGTGACAGATCCGTTGGGGCATCTCTCAGTCTTCCCTAGACTGCCCGCTGCAAAGGGATCCTGTATCCTAGCAGCTAAAATCTGAGATGTAATAAGCTCTTCCTATAAACTCTGGGGCGTCTGTCAGCTGTTGGCTGCCCTCTGCAACGGGACCCTGGTCCTAGCGGTAAAGACACGGATGTTAAACCTTTTCTCAGTAACACACACACACAAACTGCCCTGACCATTGGCTGACAGAGAGAGATGTGAACACACAAACAACCCATGTACTAAGGTTTGCTGCATTCCTGGAGAATTCAAAGGAAGAAATCAGGGACATGATTTTGCTCTGATTGCAGATGGGGACACAACGTCCCTGGCCTTGAGTGGGAGAATGGCTGGGGGCATAAGTCTTGAATTTTTCACCAACCTTGTGTACGAGAATCAAGCCATCTCCTAGCTGCAGGTGCTGTATGTGTAGCAGGAATCAGAGGGGTTTTTATTTCAGTCCCAGGCTTCTGGGACCAAGTCCCTGGAGAAAATTTCTTGCCATATTCCTCGGAGGAAGAACAGCCCTGCCTCAGATGGCAACAAAACAACATTCACTGAGTCAGTCATGTCCCAGGACGTTGTATCATCAGCATTATGTGTATTTTTAAGATGAATATCACCATGGGATTTACAGTGGTAAATGGTGGGACACTTTATGGAGCTCTCCAAGGTACACAGCAGAAGGACTCAGGGGCAGAGGCAGGAACAACACTCAGGGCTCATGGCTCCAGGTTCCTGATGCTCAGATTTGGGCCCTACTCTTGCCTCAGAGCTACGATTTGAAGCCAGGACTCTCAGCCCCACCTGCTCTAACCATTACACCCCACTCCACCACTGGAGCTGGGAACAGAACCCAGGAGCCTTGACTGCCAGATCCCCTTGCCCTACCCACCAGGCCCATTTCCCTTCTTGAGGGCCAGCCCCACAGCCCAGAGCAGTCAATGGGAGGGTCTCTTTGGTTCCAGTCAGTTTGCAGCAGGAACAGAGTCAGGACAAGCTCCCAGGAGCATCAAAACAAACTTTGTGTGGGTCATTCCACGAAGAGTAACAGTTAATTCGAACTAAGAACTTAGTTCAAATTAATGTTCCACTGTCGTGTGTAGCCACGCGGCAGTGAGTTTGGGCTAGTGACATTTCAAAATGGCGACCGGACAGGAACATGCAAATAATACCTGGGATATGCAACTCCAGTCGCCTCATTTGCCTACCTATCTCAACTTAACGAGGAGTAATGGTAGTTCGAACTAGGAAGCCTAGTTTGAACTACCTAGTTCGTGACCCGTGTAGCCGCGCTGCACGGTGTTCGAACCAGCGGGGTTTTAAAAATAGCGGCTCCCCGCTTATGCAAATGAAGTCCAGGAAATTCAAATCCCGGGCTTCATTTGCAAGTGCGGTATGCCTACATTACCCCGCTAGTTCGAAATAGCGGGGTAGTGTAGACATACCCTTAGTGTTTGACCCTGCAGACCCCGACAGGGCCCCCAGAGACCACAAACCAGATAAGGATCTAAGGTGCCAGACCAGGTTTATTGTTAAGCAAAGTAGTCACAATTGTCGGTAGACTCTACCGCACCACTACACACATGTACCATACAATAGAACTGGCTCAGTCAGCGGAAGGTCCCACTATCCCCTACATCAGGCAAAGACTGTCCCCCCAAGACAGCATTTCATATACAGGTACCAATAAGTTACACCTCACTGCCAACGTGTCAGGTTACCACCCTCGGATGCCACATAGGCTACGTCTACACTGCTGAGGCGGAGGACACCTCCCCCATGCTCATGGACACTGGCCTGGGGAGCCCCGTCATCGCTCGCCCACAGCAAGAGCAGGAGCAGGAGGGGGAGGGCTAGCCGGGGACCCCAGCGGGGGATGGGGACTCCACTGGCACCATCATCTTGTCCCTGGAGCCAGAGCCTGCCAGCCAGGATGTGTCCCAGGCCTCCTCAGAAGCCGGGGAGGGATCCTCAGGTGAGTGGTGTCTTTCTCATGCACTTGGGAGTTGTGCGGGGGGGAGGGGCGAGTGTGTACAGTGTGTCGCTAGTGGTGCTCTGGCTGGGCACCGTGCTGGGCTCTGCGCACGTGCGACCTCGTATCACATCCCTATGTAGCACGTGGAGATAGCAGGCAGCCCCTGAGCACGCCTGGGATCCTGCTGGACACACAAGTCCTGTCCGGGGTGGGGTGGGGGGGCGTGCAGGCTGGGAGCAGGCTAGCACACCCCCCGAGGAGTGCCACACGCACTACAGGGCGATGCCTGCCCGTGCGAGACAGCAGTCGTGTCCATGCACATTGCTGCGAGCTGCCCCTGTGCGTGCAGCCCCCAGGAGGCCCCTGCTCCCAGCACTTCCCTGGGGTGCTTGTCCGTGGCGGGGGGGAAGCAGGCAGCCCGTTCCTCTGAACCGCAGCAAGCAAAAGATGTTTGGTTTGGTTGCAACACAGGCCTCTTTATTGGGAAGGGGGGAAAGGAGGGGTTGTGGTGGGGAAGGGATGTAGCTGCTATGCAGGGGCCCCTTTGTAGTAGTCCCTGGGGATAGTTACTGAGGTGCCTGTGAGAACCTCTCCCTCAGAGCCTCCTGGGTGAACACCCCATCTTGGTGGGTCTGCTGGGTGGCAGCTGTCCGGGGCTGCTCATACGCACAGCCCACTTGGCCGGCATCTGCCCCTCAGGCCGGGAGCAAGGCCTCCCCCTTCCTCTCCACAATGTTGGGGAGGACACAACATGCTGCTACCACCTCAGGGATGTTGTGCTCCCCCATGTCGAGGAGGTTCAGGATGCAACGGAACTGCGCCATCAGCTGGCCAAAAGTGCACTCCACCTGGTTCCTGGCTCGGTTCAGGTGGGCATTAAATTGTTCCCTGCTGGAGTCCAAGCGTTGGTGAAGGGCTTCATAAGCCATGAGGGGGTAGGCTACATCCCCCATGATGCACAGTGTCATTGGCACATCCCTGATGGCAAATTCCTGGAGGGGGAGAATGTGCCCGCCTCCAGCCTGCGGCGTTTCTAAAGATGTGGGCGTCGTGTGCCCTGCCCAACCACCCCACGAAACTGTCTGTGAAGTGTCCCCGGTGGTCGACCAGAGCCTGCAGCACCATGGAAAAGTTGCCCTTCCAGTTGATGTAGAGGGCCACTCGATGGGCAGGTGCTCGGATGGGGATGTATGTCCCATCGATGGCACATAGCGTTTCCTGTTTGGCCCTAGATGGGCAGCGGGGGAAACACTGACTCAATGACCCCCTCACATTGGCAGATAAAATTCCCACTGGTTAAAAGCAGCCCCCCCAATCTGAGCTCCCCAAGCTGCTCCCTTCAGCACAGCGCCCCCTAGCGCCAGCCCTGTGAGACGCCAGCTCTCCACCCAAAGTTGTTTTACACTCAGGTTTATTTCTTTCCTTTGCAGCTGTGTGCAAACAAGTCCCAGCGTGTCCTCTCGCCCCACGCCAGAGCCTCGGGCAGACACAAGCGTCTACATGCAGATGCAGAGAGCGGTGCAGACATTTGTCCTGGATTTAGCCTCCCGGCCCCCCAAGGGAGGCAGGAAAATGGAATGTTCGGAAAGCCGAACTCAGGGGACCACTTGCCATATCCTGGAAGGGCAGGAGGTGACATTCCCACCTTCATTCTGCCA